TTAGCGGCTGAGCATGTGGGATTTGGGGTTCAAGCTTTACGTTTTATTCTCCTTTCACTCGCCAGAAGTGGCTAGCAATTCCTTAGCGCCTGCTTAATTTCAGAGGACAGTCAGACACGTCTCCAATGCTTCAAGAGGGACAGGGCTAACAAAGCATGAATGAATCCTGCAAGCCTTCAAGGACCACGGCTGATGATATAAATCCTGCAACTACCCATAGGAAGGAATATACCACAATTCCCCTAGTTTAGCGTCCTTAAGGTAATGCTAAGGATCTATATCATCAACAGTAGAAACTCTCACAAATAGATGAGAGACCCGAAGGCTGCAGAAAAAGCGGGTGTCCTGGTACACTCCAGCGCATCTCATGGAGTCAGAGAAACCTCTATAAACCCCTTAAGGACGAAATGACCCTTAAAAGTAGGGGCCCTATATCCTCATACCATGAATCCCTATATGGTATACATGAACCCTAAAACCTTTTAGGGTTATCATGTCATCCTTAAGGATCTAAAGCCTGGAGCCTAGGCTCGAACGGCACGGAAGGATCCACTGGCGCGTGTCAGCTTCCGTTGCGTCACGGATGCAACTCACGATGTTAAACTTCGGCATGACTCCGTTACCCAGGAGTAGCCCTAGACTTTCTAGAAAATCTTCGGCCATTCAGACTGAATGTTAGCAACAAGGATACCATCGATTATGTTTAAAGTTTAAAGTGCTATCAGGGAACCTCGTCAGTCGTGTGAAACTTCGGGAGCAACTCAGCGGGTTGCATGACAGGCCTGAGACAGCGCTCACCATGCCTCCGGATCACGATATAGATTCCGTAAGTTATAGAAATAGCCCTCATTCAGTCGGTTCAAGGATTTTTCCTTGATCGCACTTTAGATGGCATCCTGCAAGAACCCTACGACACCCGTCATAGAACCCGTATAGGTCCAGCAGCAGAACTACAATGGTGCCGGAGTATTTCGCAATGGTATCCCCACATGGAAGTCACAACAATGTACACTAAAATACGTTCGAATCATTGGAGCTTAGGCCGAGCAAGCTGTAAGCTTTGCATATCCAAGGCATACTCTTTGGGTTTCCTCCCTGCTACCTGACACCTCCGACGTCCACGGCAGCTTGGCAAGGGCTTTGCGGCACTAGATTACAAGTGCGAACATGTGGATGTTCGTTTTATATCATCGTATCTTGTATGAATCATATTAAACTCTATTACACTACATTATGTCATATCAACATGTTATGTATTGAAATGTTATGTTCTGTCCAAGTGTAATGTTCCATTATGCCACGTGACATTGCATGAGATTTTCTTGTACCACATATGCGTCATGCGTTGGTGACCTAATGATTGTACTCTAGGATTTTGTACGGTACTAGCTTATGTCGCATTTACCTGTTTTGCGTCTTACACTACGTTAAAGTTTGCATTTTTCTTGCTATATTAGTTTATATTACAGGTGTTTCTGTATTGTTTGCAATATATTAAAATGTGTTGCACAGTACTTGTGTCGTGTGTGTTACATTACTTTACAGTTTTGCTTTCTGTTGTTATATTAAAGGTATATTACAGGTGTTTCTGGTTCGTTTTGCAATATACTTGAACATATTACAGTACACTTGATGATGTCATTATGCATTACTGTTGTAGTATTGCATTATACCATAATGTATTAGGGAAGTTTTTCATTATAATTCGATGTCTTATATTTGCTGCTATATATATATATACGCATATATATATATATGACACCACGACACATGATCTTATACTGTGTCATACTTTATGGTGCCGAGCACACTGTACGGATCAGTTGTACGTTGAACGCTTGATTCCATATGTTAACTACGTTTTACTATATCTTGTTTGTTCTAAATTCATTAATATTACAGGATACTACCATTTGTGGTATTCTTATGATAGTGTATCTTGTTGTTTTTAGATAGTTCATCATATACTATATACTCTTAAACACACTATATAGTGTTCGCGTGTGTTTTGCATGCTGTATACATAATTTTAATCTCACCCAGGTTTTACATGCAAATAAATCGCAAGAATATATGTGAATTTGTTGTTTTATTCAGCACGGCATTATTCGTTAGAGCGACCTCATGTTATGTTTTATATTATGTTATATATTGCAGTATGTATTCTAGTATACCCTGTATTATGTAGAATGTTGCATTCTGTTCTTTCCGGCTCTATTTTAAATTGCATAATCTGCATCATAGTAAAACCATAATACATTGCACAAGAAACCGTTATATAACGTTTGTGTATGCTGGATACTTCTGTTTTAGAGTCTAGAGTCCTGATATCCTGGTATAACATCTTAGAGTATGTTATGTTATCATATATGGTTTGTATCTTGTTATGCTTCATCATGGGGTGTCATTTTGTTTACCTGTTTACTGATACTGATAGTGTATGTTTATGTGTATGTGTATATACATATATATATATATGTGTGTACATAGGTTTTGTTAGGCTGTAAAAACCATATTATCCTTGTCATGCTATGTTTCAACTTATGTTTTACCATGTGCTATATCATCTTATGCTATGTTAGAGGCCGAAACCAATCTAACATACCTGATCCCATAAAAGCACTGGAGACGGTCCTCAGGAGGATTTTGCCTCTTCGGCTACGTGGCGGCGCTGAGCTGTTTGCTGACGCACATGAGGGGAACGATTGCAGGCAAGAGGTGGCCCGGAGCAGAGACCCAGAGAGCCCAATACCCCTTAATTAAGGAATATACCTTAAATTATAGGGCCTTCAAATTATGATTTAAGGTATATTCCTTAATTAAGGGGTATTGGGCTCTGGGGGGAGAGCTGACTGCAGATGAGGGAGTCGTAGTGTGTCTGAAGTCGGTGGAGCTTCAGGACTGGTATCTTTCATGGTACAAGGCCACGGCCTGTTCTTCGTTTTACTCGCTAGGGAGTTTCTGAAACCCTAGATCTTAAGCCCTAGACCCTAATCCTGCCAACCGTGAACGTGCTTCCTTTTCCGGCGAGTGCGAAGTGCGCAGGTGAGAACGAGCGCGCTCTCCGGGCACGGATGCAGAATGCACTCGGGCCGGAGCGGTGTCTTGCACTGCAAGCAGAGCTCCTACTTCCTTCGGTTTGCGGCTGCCAGAGATAAGAAAGCACACAGACGCGGAAAGTTGAGTAGTTGAAAACTAAACACGAAAAGCCGAAAGAACCCAAACCAGACATCTGAACATCAAGACCGCGGGCGCTCCCTTGGGCATTTGGTTTGTGACTCTACACTCTATGTTTCGGAGATGTGTTGCAAAGTTTAGGCCCCCGAAACCCTGACAAAAACCCCTTTGCTCCACCGAACCATGTGTGTAATTCTCTAAAGTAAAACCCCAAAGCGGTGCATTGCTAAGCAAAGCCCAGTTCAATTCCTGGGGAAGGCTGCTGACTGATGGAGGTTGTGGGTTTAGGGCCCACCCAAGGATTTTAGTGCCATCCATCTATAACCCCAACCCCTAAACCCTAAACCGCGAGGTCCTAAACCCTAAACCGAGGGCTTTAAGGTTTTTTGTGCCTAGCAGAGGGTTTTCGTCCGTGTCGTGACAAGGCTCCAGCCTGGCGCCAAGAGCCATGTGGGGGTTTCCGAAAATAGGGACCCCTAACTTAGTACCCTAAATAGGTAACCTTTAACCTTTTGGGGCATATATGACCCTACCATTGAAAGGTTAACCTTTTTTGTTCTAGGATACTCGGCCGCTAAGCTAATATAGTACCCTAAATAGTAGGATCCTTATCATGACGACCCCCAAAATAAGGTACCCCTGATTTTCGGAAAGTCCCATGTACTGCTGGGGCAAACTGATATTGGAGGATCATGGGACTTAGTAACCCAAAGTTTAGGGTTTAGGGGTTTAGGGTTTAGGGCTTAGACCCAGAGAACCCAATACCCCTTAATTAAGGAATCTATACCTTAAGTTATAGGGGCCTTTATAATATGGTTAAAAGTAGATTCCTTTATTAAGGGGTATTGGGTTCTCGGGGAAGGTAGGTTATAAGTACCTTAAGTGGAGTTATGATAAAGCCACTAAGCATTATAAGTGTGGTTACCTTATCTATAACCTTACTTTCTAAGTCCCATGATCCTCCAAGTGTGGCAAACTCCCACTATAGGGGCTGAATACTTAGTACCATGTACTATTTCTTAGGGCTCCTCACCCTTTTTATACTATCATACACCGCTCCAGCTGCAGATGTTACGCATTCGTTCAGTGTCCGGGGAGATCCTTGTCAGCATTGAGCTGGCGATCTTTCTGGGCACGACCCCTGCAGAAAACCACCCCGTCCGGGCGCTGAAGCAGCACTTGCACAACTTGTGCGGGCAGCCAAGATTCAGGCAACGGCTGGTGTTCTTGGATGAAGGCACCACACTGAATGACAATGACGAACACAGCTTGAAACCGGGCGATGTTCAGCTCGTGCTTGTGAATTTCATTTCAGCATCTGAAGCGCAAATTGAAGAGCTTCGGCGTGCTGCAGAAAGTGGCCTGACATCGGTCGTGGAGACAATTCTGTACCAGCCACAAGACCCAAATTTAGGTGATCCGACACCGCTGCTCGAAGCTTGCGAGTCCGGGCACCTGGAGGTTGCGCGCCTTTTGCTGGAGGCCAATGCCGACCAGGACAAGGCCACGCATGACGGCGCCACTCCACTGTTCATAGCAGCCCAAGAGGGGCACTTGGAGATTGCACGCCT